TCTGAAGCAAAAGATCTTGCGAAGTTCCCCTACTTTATTACCATTAGATCATACTTTGTTCATTTATACTTCTAAGCAACTATTCACGCTTCATCAAACCTCGCATAAAAATATATAGGTTTCCCTGTTTCCTTGGGTCTTCATTTACAAAGGCTCCCATGCCATGTAAAACTTACGTTAAATAAATTCACATGCTTTTTTCACATGAACCTAGCAATGGGTGAAAAAGAAATTACTTTTTTATCCCTTGCAGTTTCTGGCACCCAGTAAATGTCTTCTCCTTAATACCATCCTTATTCTGCAGTAGATAAAGGTGAAAGTTAGTAAAGAGATAACAGAGATCCAGAGAGGTTACCTGTTTAATTATAGGACTGAAAATAAAAACCATTTTATGAAAAACCAAAGGCAGGAAAGAATGTTCATTGACATTTAATATTGACTCTTGCCACGCTAAAATACACATGTATACACATACAAACACATGCAATTTCACACACCTCTAATATTCATCAAGATACTCAACCAGGGCCCTGAGTTTCACTACCATACCTTGTCTCTATAATAATTGCACCTGATCTGTATAACATCTACTGCAGAGAGTTCTTGTATGCAAGATGATCTATGGAGTGTGGGTAGAAAAATTTAATATGTGTATTTACACCTGTATTTTTCTCATTAATAAAAAAGGATTAATAGTAGTATCTGTTCCATATGGTTGTTTCAAAGGGTATTTAAGTTACTTCACAAAAACATTTAAAATAGTTTGGAAGAAAGTTCCTTGATCAATAAATGGTAGCAATTATTGTTATTACTATTATTATTGCTGTTGTTCACTTTTTAATTAGACACAGGTTGAGTTTTGCCTGTATTTACGACTGTAACAGCAGTGATAACTACAGAAATACACATATCTTGGGTATGCACATTCAAAAATGTTTAGATGCGTTTCATAATTGACATGCAGAAAAAAAATAGCCAAATTAAATCTTACCTCAACCCACTGTGTGCTTAAATTTAGCCAAGGTGACATGCTCTTTCTATATCTTTGTGGAGTGTTTCCAGCCTGAATTCTCTTCTACCTTCTCTTTTCAGCTGAGTACTTCCTTCAATCCTCAATATAACCATCTGTGGATCTCCGTGATCCGGCAATCTCCGTCTCTTCCATTTCTTCCCTGTTCTCACAGGAATTATAAATATTTGTTTTATAGTACTTTCCCCATTGTCTTTTAATTGATTATAAATTTGTTTACAGTATTTGATTATAAAATACCTGAGGATAGAAACTGTGTCTTAGTGAACTTCATTTCTCTGATGACTAACACAAAGCTAACAATTGTTTACAGGAGAAATATTGAATGATCTCCCTTTCTATCTTGACATAGAAATTGATTAATTTCTTTCCCTGTAGGATGGTACAGGAAAAAACAAAATTGTATGTATACGATTTATAAACATGGATTTCTTTTTCTTGAGTTATTAAAATCTGGCCAGAGATTGATTCCATAATGGCATCTCCCAGGAGGCGACAACTTTAGTTTTCCTTCACTTCTATCTGACTTTAATGTTTGACCAAGATGTTCAAACTCTTAACCCAGAGAAGATACCTAAGGAAGCCACATGATGTAGGAAAAAGTGACATATTTTAGTTTCATATAAAACTCCACTTTTTATGTCAGCTGTGCACTTAGGAACAGAGATTTTGAGAAATATAAATAATTCTTTCTCTTCTTTGACTTTATCAGTAAACTTAAAACTATAAAGTTTAACTCACAGTTTGCACTTTTATTTCTTTTGAGAACATAAAATCACAGACATCTTATTTGATTAATTTTCTTATACAGGGTAGATATCACTACTGACAACCTCTATCAACCCCTCCTTCTAAAATGAGACTTGTGACTTGTGTTTTTAAATTTTTTTAACTGTTAGATAATTATATCATTTCTTTAAAACATAGTAAGCTCCTTGATGACAGACTCAATCTCTCCCTTTTCCCAGAGTGCTTAATCAATATTTGTTTCTTGAATTCAATAGAACTGAGTGGTAAGATTTCCCTCCAATTTTGGTTATTTTCTAATGTGAGAGTCTGGATGATCTACTCCCTCATATACACAGTGCATGTGCCCTGGCGTGACTCGGCAGGCTCTGATCATCAGCCAATTTTCAGCAGCAAACCCATATTTTTTTTTATTCTCAGAAATTATAAAAATAACAATCCTGCCATCACTTCATGAATTCATAAAGTGACTTTAGTCTCTTGCTTTCTAATTCCTTTCATTTCTCCTTTACATGCCTGCCAATAGCCTGGGCCTTTGCTGGCCTTACATATTTAATCAGAGTAACCAATGCTGAGGATTTTTACAGGGAATTAAGTTTGATTTGTTTTGAAACATTTATTTATTCCATATGGCACTTAAGTGACTGAATTATTTTTGGTGTTGGAATGAGGTTGCATAAACTAGATTCAAATTTAAAACAGACACACACACACACGCACACAGCTAAAGCCCAGGAGTAGTTCTGTAGGAAACATCCACTGTAAAAGGAAAATGGATGTACAACTGAGGGATCGGATTAGGAGATTTGGCAAAATCACAAAGATAATTTTGCTAACACTGAGGTCAGCAACATAAAGTTCCACAATTTAGGCCAATACTGGGTTGCACACTATAGTGACATTGTGAATTTCCTCCCTGGAAGCACCATGTAACTGCCATGCTGTTGTGTCCTGGATTTAGCTGACTTTGGCAGGACACGCCCTCTCTTATCTCTGGGGGATGATGGGAAAGGGCTAAGCGGCCTCATCCAGTAAACTGCTTTTGCTTTCACAGGTTCAGGATGGTCAGGGATACAGGCCTAAGCCCTACCTTGTCCACAGTGATTAGTAGTTGGTTCAGAGGCAGGGATATGAATGACCTAATTTTGTCTAATCAGTAAAGCCTAATACTTTTATTCAGCAGTTGAATAAAGATAAAAAGCTCTATTATTCCAGATCTTGTGGTTAGAGATAGGCACCCTGACACCACTGCAGCCATTTTCTTACTATGACAAAACAAGCAAACTACAACAGCAAAAGAAAAGAAAAGAAAAGAAGAGACAGAAGGAAGGAAGGGAGGGAGAAATGCCTGAAAAAATTAGAGAATACAGAGCACAAGCCTGATCTTCAAATACTGCCTAAAGTCCACTAACCAAATATTAGCTTTATTGTTTAAGCTGACGTGAGATATGTTTTTGTGGTGGTTGTGGTGGTGGTTTTTGTTTGGTTGTGGGATTTTCTTGCATTTCGACTAGAAACAAATCCTGATACATAAGCAGAGATGCAGAAAAATAAATCTATAATTATAAAATCCTTATGGTGGGGTTCTTCTGCTGGGCCCATTAGAACACAGTATGTTATTTCACACACTCTCTTATTGAAGTAAAATTACCCTTCAGCCCCTAACCACGCTCAGCAGGAGAGACTGTGCTGGGAAGACCACCGTTTCTAACGTATGTTACAAAGTTGATGCTAACAAGCATTTTAAACAAGTTAAGTGCATCACTGCTATTTCCCCTTCTCATGGTTGGAGGTGTGAGTCATGCTTCCTGTTAAGCCCAGAGACAGTGCCTCTGTTTGAGGTTTTATTATTTGGTAACAAAATGGAAAGCACACTGCTGCTGTGTCAGTGAGCTGGAAGCAATCAACATTTACTAGGCTTACACACATGAGAAATGCAAATAGGTTTCATTTGCTGGGATATGGGTTGGTGGCTTGACTCAAACATTTCATACCCCCAGGAAAAAGGAAGTTAAACCACAGGATTAATCCTTGACTAAATCTTGAGGCATTTTGAACCACAAATTAGCAAATTAAAACCAAAATGTATTCTGCCATTCCAAAACCAAAGAGCTAAGCTCTTACTTCAGAGGCTGGCAAACTCCACCATGTTGGCGCATTTCACTTGACTCTTACCTACCTACTGGTTTACTTTTACTGGCTTACTGCCAGCCTCTCCAAGGCAGAACCACGAAACCATGTCTCTCAGCTGTGGAATCAGAGACGGGGTGTTAATTAGGCTTCAGAGGGCACCAGGAGCTTCCAGTGATACGTAATTGCTGAATTTCTGGGGATAATTACAGGGGTCCTTGGGCTGTCTGGGGGAAAAAAAAATAAGTCTGAAAACTCACAACGTACATGGTTACTGTAAGAATCATTACTTACAAAGTTAGAGATAGTTGTATTCCAACAGGCATGATAATGCAGAAGTGGTAAAGAAGAGGTAGCATCTATGCCATTCAAGATATAAAGTTCTCAGCCAATAGTAGTTGACAGCAATGATGCTTTTACTTTAAGAAAGCAAGAGAAGTAACAGTTCCTTGAACTCATAAACGCCTGATTTTATTCCACAGAGATTTTACCAGGACAGTCAGAATCTTTTAAGGAAACTGCAGTTATTTGTGAGCATTATTAAGTTGAAATTATTAACATGAAAAAAAAAAATCCAGACAGCAGAGATTGCTTATAGTCTGTTTTAAAAAATGAATTATTTGGAAATATGGGATGGAGAAGTAGGTGATTAATATTGAGAACCTGTAACTTACAAGTTACTTCACAAAGTAACTTTAATTCTCACATTTAAAAAAGTCAAAATTACTAAATCAGAATTTCAAAGATAAAGGATGTTAATCTATATTTCCACAGAGATTTTGTGGTATTCTAATGAATGTTTTGAGGTGTTGAAAGCAAGATGTATTCATACCTTTCATTAACTTATTCAGTAAATATTTAATGAGTGCTGATACAGTTGCAAAATATATAAAGCTATTGGGCTACAAAATTGAATAAAATAAAATCGAAGTTTCTATCTTCTTGAAGCTCATCACCTAACAGAAAAAGAAAGCATGGAACTGGGAGCCCCTTTTTAGTATGTGAGATGCAAATTGTGTGCCCCAGTTATCAGGTCTGGAATTTGATTTTATCCTGCTTAAAACTAATAAGTTTGCCTGTTTCTGCTTCATAGATACTGGCAGGAGACAGGAGACTCCTGGTTTCGAGACAAAGAACTTCATTAATCATGCATGGCACAGCAAGCAGCATGAGCATCAACATGTTTGAGTCGATTTCTCTTGCTGCCCCCTCCCAAGTCCATGGGGGTGGTGCAGAATGCCCGGATAGATGCACAGTGGATTTTGTTACAGGGGAGGAATACTGCGCCTAGGAGATCTACAATTTTCATAGTAAGCAGTAAGCAAGCCTGCTGCTTGTCATGAAGACATTACCTAATCCCCTGAAGATGCTGTCTGTAAACACAGCCTTGGGAAATGGTTCCCTTAAAGAGCAGTCAGTGCCTTCCATTCATGGCATACTGGCAAGACATGCAGGAGGAGTCCAAGAGGTCTATGAAGGACATTCCCACAACATCAGTCAGGATCCAGAGTGCGATGCTAGAAATATGTTTTGACTGAAGCAAGACGTCCAGTATTTCTCCTTTCAATATTTTTTCCATCTGCTTTCAATCCATCCAGGTATCTTCAGGTTCTTATACGGAGATTCCCTTCTCGGGCAAGGGAAAAATCCATTTTGCAATGGACATATTTCAGGGTGCTAGCTGTGAAATGGGGTGCTGATTGCTGAGTAGAAAATACAGAAGACACAGTGTGAGAGGTGACAACATGCTAGCAGCCCTTGCTCTCGGGGCCTCCTTGGTCTTGGCGTCCACTCTGGCCGTGCTTGCAGAGCCCTTCAGCCCACCACTGCACTGAGGGAGCCCCTCTCTGGGCTGACCCAGGCCGGAGCCGGCTGCCTCTGCTTGCAGGGAGGTGTGAAGGGAGAGGCACGGGCGGGAACCAGGGCTGCGCACCGTGCTTGTGGGACAGCGCGAGTTCCCGGTGTGCATGGGCTTGGCGGGCCGCACTCAGAGTGGAGGCCCAGCACCCCTGGCCCCAGGCAGTGAGGGGCTTAGCATGGGGGCCAGCAGCTGTGGAGGTTATGCTAGGTCCCCCAGCAGTGAGGGCCCACCACCTGCAGTGCTAGAATTCTCGCGGACCTCAGCTGCCTCCCCATGGGGCAGGGCTCGGGATCTGCACCCTGCCACACCCAAGCCTCCCCCATGCTGTGGGCTCCTGCTCAGCAGAGCCTCCCCAAGGAGCACCATCTCCTGCCCCACAGCACCTGGTCCCATCCACTGCCCAAGGGCTGAGGAGTGCAGGCAAATGGTGCTGGACTGGTGGGCAACTCCGCCTGCTGCCAGTGCCGGATCCAGCAGGTGAAGCCAGCTGTGCTCCTGAGGCTAGTGGGGACTTGAATCTTTGTGTCTAGCTAAGGGATTGTAAATACACCAATCAGCACTCTGTGTCTAGCTCAAGGTTTGTAAACACACCAATCAGCACCCTGTGTCTAGCTCAGGGTTTGTAAATACACCAATCAGTACTTTGTATCTAGCTAATCTAGTGGGGACTTGGAGAACTTTTCTGTGGAACACTCTGTGTCTAGCTAAAGGATTGTAAAGGCACCAATCAGCGCTCTTTGTCTAGCTCAGATATTGTAAACACACCAATCAGCACTCTGTGAAAATGGACCAATCAGCTCTCTGTAAAATGGACCAATTCGCTCTCTGCAAAATGGACCAATAAGCAGGATGTGGGTGGGGTCAGATAAGGGAATAGAGGCAGGCTGCCCAAGCTTCCAGCATACTGTGGAAGCTTTGTTCTTTCTCTCTTTATGATAAATATTGCTGCTGCTCACTCTTTGGGTCCACACCTCGTTTACAAGCTGTAACACTCACTGCGAAGGTCTGCAGCTTCACTCCTGAAGCCAGTGAGACCATGAACCCACCAGGAAGAACTAGCAACTCCAGATGTGCTGCCTTTAAGAGCTGAGAGCTGTAACACCATGAAGGGGTACCGCTTCACTCCTGAAGTCAGTGAGACAACGAACTCACCAGAAGAAAGAAACTGTGGACACATCTGAAGGAACAGACTCCGGACACACCATCTTTAAGAACTGTGACACTCACCGCGAGGGTCTGCAGTTTCATTCTTTAAGTCAGTGAGACCAAGAATCCACCAATTCCGGACACAAATGTTATCTATAGTACAAATCACAGTAGTGGAGTCTCTTCTGTACATTGAAGGCCAACACATGTTTAACCACTGTTGAGAGATTCCAGCCAAAGTGTCAGATGTTCTCAAGGTTAAATTGACTTTGATTGCCTTACCCAGCAACAAATGTGGTAACAATCTGCTTAGAGAGAGGAGGTACAACGAGAAGTTGTGGGTTGGCTAGCGGCTGGGAAAGAACAAGCTGTAAATTCAACAGAACTAGTTACTTCAATAGGACTTCCTAGTTCTAAATTACGAAAGATTCGTGTAGCCATCAGAGTTCAGTTAATAAAAACAGAAGTTACCCCTTGCATTCTAAGTTCGAAGGATTACAGTAAAGGAAACTAAAGATTTAAACAATCATTGGGAAGGGTGGGGAGCTAAGGTCAGGAAAATTGGTACATTCAATCTCAAACTAAAGCACCAAAGGTGTGGTTCTCAAAAACTCTTCCAAAGGGTGGTGTAATTCTCAAGACTCTCTGGAATGTTCTCACTCATTTCAGCTGCTGTGGATTCGGGGTGTGCCCTCAAAATTCACATGTTGAAGCCTTAACCCCGCAATGTGATGGTTTTTAATGTGGGGCCTTTGGGAGATAATTAGGTTTAAATGAGATATGAGAGTGTGGCCCACATGATGGGATTAGTGTCCTTCTAAGACAACACAGCTTTCTGCCTCTCCTTCAAGTGAGGACAGAGTAAGAAGGCAGCCATCTGTAAGCCAGGAAGAGGGCCCTCTCCAGAGCTTGATCATGAAGGTAGCTTGATCTTGGACATCCTAGCTTCCAGAATTATGTGAAATAAATGGCTGTTGTTTAAGCCACCCAGTCTATGACATTTTGTTCTGACAGTCGGAGCAAACTAAGACAATCAGCCAAGCTGCAGGGCGAGTAACATCTGTCCATGTGTCTGGCTGCTTCTTCCTGAGAAGAATAACAGCCACTGCTCTTCACATTCTAAATTTCAGTCAAGTGTTTCATGTTGATAAACTCTAACCTGGTGCCTTACAGAAAAGGCAATTTTGAAAAATATAGTTCCAATCTTATTTCTGTGATAAAGAAAGCAATTATGATGCTGTGCTAATAGCAGATAATCCAGCCAAGCCAGATGATTAAACTAGCAAACAGATAATAATAAGTGCCACACGAGTATTACAAACTAAGTGATATGAGATTGATAATGAGATAAATGTTCTTCTGATTCGCCCACGATTTGGGATAAGCTGTGACATCGTAGAGCAGAGAACATAGTTCAAACTGTGACTGATACCACTCTCTAGGCCCTTTGCACAAGGAGGATGGTTCCTTTGATAAAGCTGAAGACTTTGGTGGAACCATAAAGATGGGAGAATCTTCCAAGTCACTCTCAGAAATATCAAGGGGACAGAGGGAAGGAAAGTTTTCAGGAAACTTGGGTCCTTCACCGGCAGGTAATGGCAAGCACTGTCGAAACATTCATTCAAAAGTAAAATAATCCAGTTAGATTTAGTGATCCATTTAATGAATTACTCTACTCAAAAAAAAAATGAAATAAAATAACAACTTTATTGGAAATGATGGGAAATGATGCTAGAAAGATGGTTTGTGAGATGAGTAAATTTGGAGGAGCAATGAAGGGCTAGGTTAAGGAAAATAATCTTTAATCTGTAGGAAAGTGGGGAACAATTTAAGATTTCTGAACCAAGGAATGGCCCAAGCCAAGCAGTATGCAATGTGAACTGAGAAAAGAACAGATTTGAGGCAGAGAAATGAAATAACAATTTGGCTATTATTTTATTAAAGTGCATGATAATCAATGTTTGACTGCAATGATAACAAGAAAAGGGCTGAAGGGATTCTTGGTCAACATTGTGACGGAAGAATCAACATAACTTAGTGATTTGAAAAATGACTTTTTCTGAACTTTAGAATGTCCATCTTCTAGTCTTAGAAACTTGTATTCATGGAAAGCAGTCACTCCTGATCTTAGATTTCAAATCCTGTTAACCACGATAGTGGCTTCATTTTTAACAGGATTCTCCTTCAAACACAAGATAGAAGCAGACTAAGCATTTAGCGTTTCCACACAGATGTTATCTCTGCTTGAGTAGGCTGAGCTTATACTTGATCATCTCTAGATCTGAATAAGGCTAATAAATTATTTTGCAATTTCCCTAATATTTTTCTGTAATTACATATGTTCTTGGTTTTTTGGTTTTTGTTTGTTTGTTTGTTTTGTTTTTGAGATGGAGTCTCCCTCCATCACCCAGGCTGGAGTGCAGTGGTGCCATCTCTGATCACTGCAACCCCCGCCTCCCTGGTTCAAGCAATGCAATTCTCCTGTCTTAGCCTCCCGAGTAGCTGGGACTGCAGGCACATGCCCCCACACCTGGCTAATTTTTGTATTTTTAGTAGAGACGGGGTTTCACCTTGTTGGTCAGCCTGCTGTCCAACTCCTGACCGCAGGCAATCCACTCGCCTTGGCCTCTCAAAGTGCCGGGATTATAGGCATGAACCACTGTGCCCCACAAAGAAATTTTTTAAATTTCTTTTTTAAATGTATGGTAGTAAGAACACAGCATTAATTCTACTCTCTTAACAGATGTTCAAGTGTACAAAATAGTTTTGTTGCCTATAGGAACAATATCGTACAGCAGATCTCTAGCACTTATTCATCTTGAATAACACAATTTTACACCTATGTATTAACAACTCCTCATTTTCTCTTTTACCCAGTCATTTGCAACCACTGTTCCACTCTTTGATTCTGTGAGTTTGACTGTTTTATATAAGTTAATACAAGCGGAATCATGTAGTTTTTGTCCTTTTGTGACTGACTTATTTCACTTAACACAGTGTTCTTAAGGTTCATTCATGTTGTTGCATATAGCAAATTTCCTTCTTTTTGAAGGAAAAGTTAATATTCTCTTGTATGTATATAGCATCGTTTGTTTCTACTCATTCATCTGTCAGTGTACATTTTGGTTGTTTCCACATCTTGGCTATTGTGAGTAGTGCTGTAATGAACACAATAAGAGTGCTCATATCTCTTTGAGATCCTGATTTCGTTTCTTTTGGATACATAGTTAGAAGTGAGATTGCTGAATCTTATGGTAGCTCAATTTTTAATTTTTTGAGGAACCTCCATGCTATTTTCCATAGCAGCTCCACCATTTTGCCTTCCCATTAACAATGTCCAAGGGTACTAATTTCTTCATATCCTTGCCAACACTTGTTAACTTTTGACTTTGGGATAGTAGCCATACTAACAGGTCTGAGGTGATATCTTGTAGTTTTTATTTGCATTTCCTTAATGATTAATTGACATTGAGCATCTTTTCATGTACCTGTATGGTCATTTTTTATGTCATTAAAAAAAAAAATGTCTATTCAAGTCTTTAGCCCATTTTTAAATCAGTTTACAGGGTTTTTTTTTTCTATGAAGTTGTAGAAGTTTCTTATATATTTTAGAAATTAGCCTTTTATCAAATATGTAGTTTGCAAAAAAATTGTCTCATTGTATAGGTTACGTTTTCACACTGTTAACTGTTCCCTTTGCTATGCAGAAGCCTTTTAGTTTCATGTAGTCCCACCCGTTTATTTTTGTTTTGGTTGTCTGGGCTGTAGGTGTCCATGGAACTCATTAATCAGTAAGTGGTTACTGTAGCCACTTAGCCAGACACTGTGCTAGGTGTTAGGTATGAAAATACATAAGAGGCCTGGCCCTGGCTTTGAGGGGGCCCACATTCTACAGCCAAGCACAAAAATATATCACATAATATTGTAAATAATATAAAAGAAGTGTACTTTTAGCACAAAGACGAAAATTATCAATGAGGGCTATGGGATAGTAATTTGGGAAGGTTCGACAGAGGAAGTGATTCTTAAGCTGTACCTCAAAGAAAGAATAGGATTTGTCAAATAGATAAGGTCTGAACAAAAGAAAGCCAAGCAGCCACAAAGGCAAGAAGAAATAAAAGAATATGGATTTAGATGCAGGGCATTTGCACACCTGATAATTCACACACCTCTTGCATAAATAACTCCAATTTCCATTGCTAGATAGTCCATTTTCAGATTAACTAGGGTCTAAAAAAAAAAAAAGTTTTTAAAAATACATTAACGTTTGTATGAATCTTTGAAAGTATCTGCATATTAGAAGTGTCTATTTTTCAGAACCATATGAAAACCAATAGTAATTGGTTTGAGCCCACTGCAGAATTGAGACACCCTAATGCTCTATTCCAGTACTTAGAAATAGGGAGACCAGCTGAGATGAAATAGGTAATAATCATAGACTATT